TGCCATCCGTCCGTCCGTCCGCGTCCTCCGTCGTCCGTCGCGTCGTCCGTCAACGTTCACTACGGTCAACGATAACTCAGGAACGTTTGACCCACATGTTTGAAATTGCGGTATAGTTGTTACTCGCTATGCTCCATATTAAACATCCTATTTTGAAGCCACGCTAGTCGACGTACTTTGAGCACAGCAATTTTTTGGCAAAAATGGAAATTGCCATTAGTCAGTTCAGTTCAACGGATTTTGCTCATTTTTGGTATGTGAATGAATAAGGCTAGGGGTTTTGATATTTAATAAAATAAATAATAAATTGTGCAAATTAGGTAGGGTTTGGCAATTATATAGCCATATTATATAGACACAAACAGTTCTGTGGTGTCACACTCGTCTGGTTCGTTTTACAAGATTTCATTGACAATATCTTTATTGCAAAATGTATTTCCTCTCCACCCTGCCGATAAAATTGTCTATATTAGAGTAAAGTTTTACAAAACATGTCGGAATGCCAGCATAAACCTATTTATTTCAAACGCCATCGCTACAAAAGCGGGTTATAGCGCCATCTTCGTCACAAATTGTGATTCATTTTGGTTTATAAATTATTATTGCGATATACAGATGGCAATCGTTTCTATAATGTACATCGATGGTTGCTCAATTAAAACTGAATTCTTCTTACTCACTCATTTGTGTCCTTTTTCGTGGTGAGCTACAGTGTCATTGACACTTTCATTATATATCTATCTGATCATTTGCATGTTATGAACTATGTTTGGGCCTTATTACATGCACTGATGCTGTAAGAACATAGTTTTAATTCAGCGATTCACAGTACATGTACATTTAGAGTTTGTAGCATTGCTGAAGATTGTCAGATGCAGACTGAGAGGTTCTCATTGTCTACAACACAGTATTTATTCACCCTTGTCCATACATGCTTATAGCATTTATCAGATTGTTTCTCCATGAAAACGACTGTCCTCGTTACATGTATTTGTATTTTAATTACATGCAATAAAGATTTAATAATAATAATAATAATTGTGCTTCCAGGCAGTGAATAATGGAGGCTGCTACCATTATCAGCACCGACAGTGATGTGGCTGCAGCAGTAGACACCAGTAATGGTGACAAGGTTTACATCCTAGTACCCTGCTGAGGAGCGGAAGGTTTCGAGGGCAGAATTCCTGGTAGCTGAGTTGGGTGCAGCAGCTGCGGACGGAGGCGAAGTGATGCGAGAATTCCATCTAAACCCAGGAGAGGTATGATAAACCAGTATGTTTCAATATGTGGGAAATGTAATGTGTAATCTTCGTGTTGTCAATATATAGTAGTGATCGACACAGCTGATGCCTTACAGTTTATGTTTTTACCTCCGCGCAACGGAGTTGCAGGGAAGTAATGTGATGCCTTCTCGTGTGATGCTTCGTTGTGTCGTGTTTTCGTGTGTGTGTTCGTGTGTGTGTTCATTGTGTGTGTTTCGTGTGTGTGTGTAGCCAGCACGAGCCAGCTCTTATACACCATGTATACATGTTAACCGCGTTGGCGCGATCGATTCAGCACCAGCTCGCTCTAAGGGCCGTCGGAGTCAGCAGCAGCTCGCTCGCTCTAGCGCTCGCAACAATCAATATTTCAGATTCTACTACTACAAGCTAGAACTACTAGAAACTGCAACTTAGAACTAAAACTAGAACTAAAACTAGAAACTACAACTACATGCGTAGCAATTCCACGGATGCCCGCAGTAACCATCAGTTTCGTGTATTCCTCTTTGCTGCCTTCGGTATTCCACGCGCAAACACTTCAACGTGAGTGCATTTCAATTATATATTTACATTACTTTAACTCAAATATCAACGCAACAACAATCTATTCTATGTATCTACATATATACGCTATACACCGACAAAGTCTTATATCATGCCGCCACGTAAAATCTACTTAATGATTCTTATAATATATGTTTTATAAACAAATGCAGTGTCTTTGTCTACAATGAGCCTTATATGTCTTATATCACCTACGCACCCTGGTTCCACGCTTTTTTTCCAAACATCCTACCACAACTCGTGGCCGTACTGGTCTATGTTACGACATTCATTGTGTCGCGGACCACTATAATCCGCTGACATCTTCCCCCAATGTCCTAATTAATCTAATTGAATTTGAGTTACATATCATTTACATAGTTTCCCATTTTAGATACATAATTACATTCATGTTCATACTTAATCTGCAATTTCCATTCCTAATTTAAATAACTTAACCCTTGTGTATTTTTCACCATTTCTCTTGTCACCAATGTATTTGCTTTACATAATGCGAAATGCAGTTTTATTATTTACTTTTACATTTACAATGTTACATCTTCGTGAATTAAATTTAGCATGTAATGTATTTGTTCTAATTTACAATTTCAATTGTGGGGACCTAACTTAATCCTGCATTTCCATTCCTACAATTAATCCAATTACTCTCCCGCAACGGAGTTGCACGGGAGGTAATGTGAATCGTCGTCGTGGCGTGTAGTTCGTGTGTGTGTGGGCGTCGCAGTGGCAGCAGCTCGCGCTTAGGGGTCAGTCAGCAGCAGCGGCAGCTGTTATACACATGATATACATGTTACACCGCTCGCGGAGTATGCACTCTTCTTGGAGTGCCCCCTCTGTCTAGTTTACTTATTGCATGAGCCGTTTAAAGGCATGAATAACATTTTAGAGCTTCTATTTTGTGCTGAACTGTACAAATCTGTGTGTCTGTGTAATCTGGTTGTATTTGGAACTCTGGTCCAAAACTCGGATTAAGACAGGATGGCATTAACTGCAAGTGTTTTGATTCATGTTTTGTGATAAGTTGGTCGAAATTTCTAAGCGATATGCCGGCGCTTTCGATTTGATTTACCGCAGGTGTGCTCGAATGTAGAGTCTCGCCTCGCTATCGGAAGTCGTGGTTCCAACTCCGGCCGGGTCATCTCAAGACTTGAAAGAATGGTACACACTGCTTCTCTGGCTTAGCACTCCAGCAAAAAAGAGAATGAGCTGTGGAAAAACTTCCGTCACAGGGTGAGTTAAGTAAGGCATACAGTCTAAAAAAATTCTGTTCAATAAACAGGCAGTGCTAATGGAAGAGCTGCTAAAAACTGGACCGAGCCAGATTCCGTGGAGTGAGTGGGTTCTGCTGATGTGGATTTAAACCCTTTGAGTCCAGTATAAAATTAAAGTAACCAAGAAAAAAAACAAAAAAACACGCACTTATGGATAGAAGGAAGTGATTTTCATTTCAAGAAGTAATTGCTTGCTTTACTATATTGATGCAGTGCATCTCGTGAAACTATATTGCAGAGTGTCGATTGTTTCTATTTGTTTCAGCGCGCCCGTTAATGCGCACGCGGCATGGCAAGCAGAAGAGCAGACAGACAGGGACAGACCAGTTAGGAGGCGACACACCAGGAACATTCTAGTGGAAGCTGCACTGACAATGCATGGGGAGACACAGGTAAAGAGTTATCAAGAAATCTTATCGCAGCTTGCAGCTCTTGGAAATTTCCGTCACCAAATCCTAGAAGTGGGATTTGGGTCGAATTAGGGATAATAAAAATAAAAAAATATGCATAAACAGGGATGAGCACTTCTTCCGCGGATCCGCGGAGAATGCGCGGAATTTGACAGTCCCAGGGCGGTTCGTTTTTTGCTAAACGTCTAAATTCGTTTGAGACAAATTGGGAGGGGAGGTAACAATGGTAACCAATTTAAAATTACCTAATCACCCTCAACAGCACGACTGAGCAGTGTAGCTGTAGAGTGTAGACAGTTAGGCTGACAGCCGAAGTATTACCAGTGTAGCTGTTTTTGCGTCGTACCTGAAAAGGAAAATCCTCTTCACAGCGCCATGCAGTAGACGGGCAGACATTTGAGGTAGCCTGCATCACGTAACGACCATGCCTGCGCTGGGGCCGGGTTTTACATGTTGCTGGTGCATGTTTGTTCATGCTATGCACTGATTGGTTCCATCTCGCATTGTGTTTTTTTCATTCAATTCTCGTCCGCCAGCAGGCAGCTTATGTCTGAGTAAACAATGCAAGCGAACGCGCGTGGAAACAGAAAAATAATCTAGAGCATTATACATAAAAAACTTGCCTATTTTCAGCCGCCATGTTTCCTATTGCATAGTTCGTTTGTTCCTTTTTGACAAGCTTTTTGAAACAAGGTGATTCAAGAGTCTCCTAAAAATGTGTTCAGAATAGGCTTAGAATGCCACCAAATTGCCCTCATTCTTTTAAAAAAATTTCGGGAGCATGCCCCCGGACCCCCCTTAGCATGGCCGATGACCTACGGTTCCTGCACTTTGCCGCTCCGTCTGTTGCTAATTTAAATCTTCAGCGAAATTTAATTAACCAATCTCATCCTGCATTAAAAATTAGAAGTGGAATTTGCAGCACGAGTCATACTTATCCTGACGTACGCGAGTCAAATTCACTGAACGACGCATTAAATGCCTTGATAAACGCCATAATTTCATGTACGATGATCAGGGATGTTTACCGCTAACCCGTGCGTGACATTCGTTGCAGACGTGAAACGAGCAGCGTTGGGCAACGTTGGGCAGATGAGGCCACTGCTGCCGGAGATGTTGCAAGCTGTCACGAACGCCGCAGGGGCGCCGGCGATGCCGATTCCGGCGGGAAAGCAAGCGGTTGATGTGCGGAAGCCGAGGAGGGGTCTGCAGTGAGAAGGAGAGCCGTACCGGTCAAGTTCAGGATACGCATATTATTTCAGATTTTCTGAGAGATGTAAGCGTTAGAGTAGAGATATATAGTATAATACTAAAATAAACAAGGGCATAACTATATCGAACAAAACCTTAGTTAATGATGCTAGAATTAGTATACGCTAACCCTCAACCCCCCTTATAAACTCTAATCTGCCACTACTTTATGCTTGCCACTTACAGATTGGCCAAGATGTAGTCACTTCTTTTTGTTTTTTTGATAATTTATTGCAATTTATTACCTTACGATTCAACATGTAATATGTTTCTTATTTTTTATCATCTAGGGATTACGTCATTATAAAAATCTCACTAGACAGGGCACATCTAGACGAACGGAGATTATGCGACGTTGCCGAAGGAGACTTCAATGGAGCTGAAAACAACCCTATCAGTTGTTAATAGAGTGGCTCCAAGGGTCGTACTTGTCCGGTGACTACATATTTTTAGCTCGAAAGCCGTCGACTTAAAAGCGAACCAGTGTGTCATTACCCCTCACATTAAGGAACGCAAACATGGATCCATTAATTTCTTATTGCTGCAGACGTGCAAAATTGGGACGGGCGTCGTCGGACAGACCAATCATATTCCTCAGAGCACGACGACGTTGGCATGGCTCAACCGGCGCGAAACGCGGCCAACGAAGAACCTCTACCTCGAGGTGATCCTCTTCAAAGAGGAAGCCGGTGAGAGGGAGACGCGCCCGGGCGGCGAGGCAGACGGTCCCCCGCCCGCCGTGCCGGCAGAAGAGGCGGCCGGGCCGACCGCAGCAAATACCTGTTTGACGACAAACGGTAGCTAATCGGCGTACTTGTTGGAGCGGGACCACGGATCAAGCGATTCGGCCGCGACCGTCCGCTGCTTTACCGCATGTTTGAGCAGACGGTGAAGGAGGACAGCCGCCGTGGAGCAGCGTACCACCAGGGGCCCGGCGCGCGGCGGAAGAAGGTGGGCGCCCGGGTGCACGCGTGCGAGCGTGTGCGGCAAGCACGTCTTTTCGCAGAAAGGGAATGCTACCGCACGCACGCGCTGGGTGCACTCGACGCAGCGCGTCCCACCGTAGTTCCGCACTTGCGCAGAAGGCGTTCAAAGCTCGGACGAGGGTGCGGCGCACCTGTGACGCACTCGATGGTTGAAGCCGTTCACTTGTTCCGGTGTGCGGACGCGGGGTCGGGTTCTGCAGCCGCGCCGTGGGCGTCGCTCGAGGAGCACGAGGCGCGGCACACGAACACGCGGCGCACCGCTGCGACGTCACGTCGCAGCGCGACGGCTTCCGATCAGGCCAAGTGCCTTGCGGCGGTCACGCGCGACGCACGCGTGGCCGCCCCCCGCGTTACGCCAGTGCGATAAGTGCGGAGCCGCCGCCTCCTTCACGCCAGCTCGCTACCGTGCGCTCGACCACGCGCACGCACACGGCGCAGCGTCGTTCGCGTGCGACGTCTGCCCGCAAACGCGTCTCGCGCACCGCTCCGACGTGAAGCGGACACCGGCTCACGCACTCTGGCACAAGCGCGTACGTCGTGCGCAACGACCGGGTGCTGGGGCCGCTTTCAAGGACCGTCCAGCTGCCGGCCGACGACGGAGCGGGAACACAGCAACGCGAACCCTATGTGTGTCAGCCTGCTGCCCCGCCCGACTCAGTTCACACGCGCCGCCGCGTCAGCTGAAAGCCCACGCGTCTTCAAGAAGCACTCCAGTCGGACGCAGGTGACCGTCGTCAAGTGCGCGGACAACACCGCCGTACAGTCATTATACAAACAGAGGCGCGGCAGCGGCGGCGGCAGGGGCGGTGCGCTCACAGACATGTCAACGACCCCGAGGTGCTACGCTCGCCAACACCGAGTTACCCGGAAACGCAACAGCTCATCCACCACGCTGCGCCGGATCGAACGGTGGAGTCCGAGAGAGCGAGGGAGCAGATCATCTGCATGTGCAAGACGGCTCCGATTCCGAATCGCAGATTTCTCCTGCAGCAGCAGGGAGAGGAGGAGGACGGGGACGTTGCCGTGGCTACGGATGCGCAAACTCCGCGGCAGGCAGTGATGTGTGAACGCGCTAACGTCATTCACGTGCGGCGGCGCCGCCCGCCCGCAGACGAACAAATGACGCATCTATTAACTACACAAGGTGCCAGTTACTCTAGCATTCGTCAACATTGCATAATCAATGGGCTTATTATGCCTTTAATAAAGCATCATGTTGATTGCTGTGTTGTGTATACATAAATTATACTGACAGTGACAGTGACAGTTCTGTGACTGTGTGGCATTAATTTTTTGATCATTTGGTAGGACGCTTGTCGGTATAGGAAGTACAAAATATCGAAACAAATCTTGGTGTTGAAGAGATAGTGAACCCATTCCTGTAAAATAGCTGTTTGCTGTTTACCCTTTATCTTTTTTCAGTAAAACATTGAACTCTTCGATGGATTTCACACCAACAACTGCCATGTTGAAAGACTAACAGCGACGTCTGGCGAGCGGTTATTCGCGTAAGGTGTCCGAGAGGTGGCGCCAATGATCGTAAACTCGAATTATAATATGTGCAAGTTCGTGTGATTGTTGCTGGTCTTTTCGACGTGTACTTTTGGCGCTTTGGAATGAATTTCGGTTAGTTTTCATTGGATTTTGGTATTAAGGCAGACCTTATTTCTGCGTGGTATTCACTGAAATTTGTTTGTCTCTCTTACGGCAAAGGTTCGCTTCCGCTAGCCTACACTACACTAGCTCTAGTAAGGGAAACACTTTGGGTAATGCTATCCCCCGGGCGTGGAGGGAGGTGACCGCAACGTGGCAGCACTAGTGTTAGGATAGTGTTAGGATTAGGGTTAAGATTAAGGGTTAGGGTTAGGGTTAGGGTTAGGGAAATAAGGGTATAATAATATAATAATATGATAATATAGGGAAATAAGTAAAATAGGGACTAGTCCATCTACGCCCGGGGGAAAGTGACACCCCTCTAGTAACGCTCATACTCATAGGGTCGGTAAACATCAGGTTTAGCGTCGTAAATTAACTGGAAAGTGCTGGCTGGTGGAGAAGGAGGAAGGGGAGAAAGGAGAAGCTGGTGGAGAAGGAGGAGGGGGAGAAGCTGGTGGAGAAGGAGGAGGGGAGAAGCTGGTGGAGAAGGAGGAGGGAGAGAAGCTGGTGGAGAAGGAGGAGGGAGAGAAGCTGGTGGAGAAGGAGGAAGGGGAGAAGGGGGTGGAGGAGGGTGAGAAGCTGGTGGAGGAGGGGGAGAAGGGAGCTGGTGGAGGAGGAGGGGGAGAAGCTGGTGGAGGAGGATGGGGAGAAGGGAGAAGGTGGTGGAGAAGGGAGAAGCTGGTAGATGAGTGCTGATCGATGATGTTCCACTGATACGCCCGAAACGCTGATAGACCGCGTAGCGCCATCTGGCGGTGGCATAAATTTGCAAGTTAATTTACGACGCTAAACTTGATGTTTACCCATAGGGTCTATGTCCCCCAGCTTGCCCCAGGGTACTGCCGGAACGTACCCTGGGTACGGTCTGGTATACCGGAACGTACCCTGGTAACTATTTGATATGGTTATAGGGAGTATATAGGCGTAGGCGATTCCCTAGACTAGTTAGTGGAGTAGGCGAGGTACGGTCCGGCATATTAGATAGTACCAGGGTACGTTCCGGTATACCGGACCGTATCCAGGGTATGTTCCGGCAGTACCCTGGGGGACATAGACCCTCTCAGCTCTAGTAACTATAGCCCGCGTACGGTTGCCGCTGGCCGCTGGTCCAGCTGCAAACGTACG